TCTTGAAGAACTACAGACCGATTTCCCTTCTGAGCCGCGTCTACGTGCTGTACTCGACGACTTCCAGCCTCCCGAACAAGCCGCTTTCCGAAAAGGCTTCAGTACCATAGACCACATACATACCCTGCGGCAGATTGTATGAAGACCGAGGAGTACAATCTGCCACTTTGCCTGGCGTATGTGGACTATGAGAAAGCCCTTGATTCCGTCGAAATTTGGGGGGTGCTACAGTCCCTTCAGCGGTGCCAAGTTGACTGTCGGTATATCGAGGTGCTGAAGTGTTTGTACAGTAGGGCTACGACGGCTATCCAAGTACAGAACCAGAGTTGTAAACCTATCCAACTGCAGAGAGGTGTAAGACAGGGTGAAGTTATATCCCCGATACTCTTCACCGCTGCGTTGGAAGACGTATTCAAGCTACTGGACTGGAAAGGATACGGTATTAACATCAATGGCGAGTACATCACTCACCTTCGATTTGCCGACGATATAGTCCTTTTGTAAGAATCGCTGGAGGACCTTAGCACTATGCTCAATGACCTCAATGGTGTCTCCCAACGGACAGGTCTTAAGATGAACATGGACAAAACAAAGATTATGTTCAATGTCCATGTGACACCTATGCCGGTAGTTGTTGGGAGCACTAAGCTCGAAGTTGTTGACGAGTACGTTTACCTGGGACAAGTAGTCCGACTAGGTAAGTCCAACTTCGACCGAGAGGTCAATCGACGGATTCAACTCGGCTGGGCAGCGTTCGGGAAATTACGACACATCTTCTCGTCAGGTATACCTCAATCTCTGAAAACTAAAGTGTAAAACCAGTGCGTGTTGCCAGTGATGACTTACGGATCAGAGACGTGGTCCTTCACTGCTGGCCGTATGAGGACGCTCAAGGTCGCTCAGCGAGCTATGGAGAGGGCTATGCTCGGAGTTTCTCTGCGTGATAGACTCAGAAATGAGGATATCCGCAGCAAAACCAGAGTGATCGACATAGCCCAACGGATTAGTAAGCTGAAGTGGCAATGTGCGGGCCATATAGCTCGAAGAACCGATAACCGATGGAGAAGAAAAGTTCTCGAGTGGCAGCCTCATACCGGTAGGCGTAGTGTAGGGCGACCCCCCACTAGATGGAGTGACGACCTGGTAAGACATGCAGGAAGTCGATGTATGCAGGTGGCTCAGGACCGTGCTTTGTGACGTTACTTAGGGGAGGCCTATGTTCAGCAGTGGACTTGTGAAGGGCTGTAATGATGATGATGATGATGATGTATTGTGCGTGTAGTGGTATGATATGGAGTTATAAATAAATACAAAGCAGTATCATTTGCATGATGTAGTGTAGAGTAGTTAAAAAAGTAATAAGATGATGTGTGCCGGGCTAATTGGCGTTGCCTGTCTGGTCTACTTGGATGACATCATCATCGTGGCCGTACGTTTGAGGAACGCTTTCAAAACCTGGAACGCGTGATCATGAAGACTCAGAGTGCCAACTTTAAGTTGAGTCCGAAGAAATGTTCACTGTTCAAACGGCAAGTTAACTTTTTGGGGTATGTAGTGTCGGAGGAATGTATCCGCATGGATCCAGAGAAAATTGCCGCTGTCAAGGAGTGGCTGGTTCCAAAAGACAAGACGCAGGTTAGAGCATTTTTAGTTTTATGCACCTACTATCTGCGATTTGTGAAGAACTTTGCAGATATAGCCAAACCTCTGTACAAGCTAACCGAGGAGAAGCGACATTTCTACTGGGACGAAAGTTGCGATATCGCATTTCAGGAGCTCAAGGACCGTCTGTGTAAAACACCTATTTTGGGGTACCCTGATGCAAGCAAAAATTTATAGTTGACATAGACACAAGTGATATAGTACTTGGCGGTGTGTTGTCTCAACGGAATGGTGACCAAGAAGTTGTGATAGCGTACTTCAGCAAGTCATTGTCAAAACCGGAAAGGAACTATTGTGTCACAAGACGTGAATTTTAGCATTTTAGCAAATATCTTCTGGGGCGGAAATTTTGCCATGCTGCACTAAAACGGCTATTGCAGTACAAAAATCCAGAAGGACAAGTTGCGAGGTGGATTGAACTACTGCAGGAATAGGACTTTGTGATCGAACGCAGCGGGAAATCTCATGGCAACGCAGATACATTGTCAAGAAGACCTTGTCCTGAAGATTGCAAGCATTGTACTCGGCAAGAGGGTAAGGAAGTGGTATCTGTGAGGATGCTCAGGACAGATCACCTCAGCAAGGAGTGGAAGGACAGCTTACAACATGCACACAGCAGAAAGATCCGGATATCAAGCCGATTCTGGAATGAATGAAGGACAATGCTCACAAGCCCAAGTGGAGCGACATCCCAGCAATGAGTTTGACCACGAAAAGCCGTTGGGCCCAATAGGGCAGCTTGCTGCTTCAGGATGGAGTACTGTGCCGTAAATGGGAAAATGGTCGGGGAAACAGCTGTCATTTGCAAATGGTTGTCCCTTAAACTAAAGTACCGGATGTTCTACAGCTGTACCATAATGATTGTTCAGTTCACCTGGGAGTTAAACGAACTTTACTGAAGATTCGAGAACGGTTTTACTGGGTCCACTGTCGAAACGATGTCGAGGACTGATATCGCAAATGTACAAGTTGTGCGGCTGTAAAGGGATCGCAGACTCATAGTGGAGGTGCACTGAAGTTATACAATGTTGGTGCACCATTGGAGAGAATAGCCATAATATTGTATTTGTGTTGTTTACGCCCGGAGGAATATATTTAATACAGTATCCTTTCCAGTCCAGTAGCTTGAAAACGTCTTCCAACGCAGCGGTGAAGAGTTTCGGGGATATAACGTCACCCTGTCTTACACCTCTCTGCAGTTGGATAGGTTTCGAACTCTGGTTCTGTACTCGGATAGCCATCGTAGCCCTACTGTACAAACACTTCAGCACTTCGATATACCGACAGTCAACTTGGCATCGCTAAAGAGACTGTAGCACCGCCCAAATTTCGACGGAATTAAAGGCTTTCTCATAGTCCACATACGCCAGGCAAAGTGGCAGATTTTACTCTTCGGTCTTCTGTACAATCTGCCGCAGGGTATGTATGTGGTCTATGGTACCGAAGCCTTTTCGGAAACCGGCTTGTTCGGGAGGCTGGAAGTCGTCGAGTCTGCGTGCGAGACGATTCGTAATGACTCTCGAAAACAGCACGTAGACGCGGCTCCGAAGGGAAATCGGTCTGTAGTTCTTCAAGAGAGCGTTGTCGCCTTTCTTAAAGAACAAGACCACCGCACTTCTGCTCCACGCCTCTGGAGTAGTGCCACCCTGGAGGACGGAATTGAAGAGCTTCTGAAGGACTTCAAGTACCGGTGTTCCACCCGCTTTCAGAAGCTCCGCTGTAATTCCATCCTCGCCCGGGGCCCTGCCGTTTGTAAGGTGCTGGAGAGCCATTCTAATCTCGCTCAGACTGACGTCCGGGATATTATCGGAATAGTGTCGGGTAAGACTTGCTCTTGGATCGTTACTCACACTTGCGTGTGGCTCCAACGATGATGTGTACAGCTGCCCATAGAACCTCTCAATCTCACTCAAAATCTCAGGTGTCCCGAAAACCGATGTTGCCACACTCACTCTTCAGCTTTGACAGTTGGCTCTTTCTGGCAGACAGATCTCTGGCAAAGACTTTGGAGCCCTGGTTCCGCTCGATCGCTTCTTTAATACGAGCAGTATTAAAGTTGCGTAAGTCTCGCCGCATGCATTTGGAGATCTGTCTGTTCAGTTGCCCGTATGCTGTCAAATCTGTTGACGATTGCAGCCTCATCTCCCGTCTAACAGCCATGGAGAGGGCTATGCTCGGAGTTTCTCTGCGTGATAGACTCAGAAATGAGGATATCCGCAGTAAAACCAGAGTGACCGGCATACCCCAACGAATTAGTAAGCTGAAGTGGTAATGGGCCGGCCATATAGCTCGAAGAACCGATAACCGATGGGAGAGAAAGGTTCTCGAGTAGCAGCCTCGTACCGGTAGGCGTAGTGTAGGGCGACCTCCCACTAGATGGAGTGACGACCTGGTAAGACATGCAGGAAGTCGATGAATGCAGGTGGCTCAGGGCCGTGCTCTGTGGCATTACTTGGGGGAGGCTTATGTTCAGCAGTGGACTTGTAAAGGCCTATAATGATGATGATGATGACGCCCGGAGGGAGGCAAAGCGAGCGATATGAAAAAGATAGCATTTTTGAAAATACCTACTCGCGCCGCGTATCGGCACTTCACAATCCTCTTAATTATAATATTAAATTTAAAAGTCAGTTTATTAAGATTTATCCCATAATTTCCAATTTCAAAAATCTTTTATCAAAACAAATTTTAATTTTTTTACTTAATTTTATCTATTATTTTTTATTTTCCATTTATAAAAAAATATATTCAAAAAATACTAAAATATGTCCATTGAATTTATATTAAAACAAATCTTCCCTCTTATTATAATATTAGTGTAGAAAAAACATTTTTTCCATTTTTTATTATACATTTTAAATTTAATGGATATATTTTAGTATTTTAAATATATATTTTTTTAATAAATTGAAAATAAAAATTAATAGATGAAATTAAGTAAAAGAATTGAAAACTGTTTTGATAAAAGATTTTTTAAATTGGAAATTATAGGATAAATCTTAATAAATTGACTTAAATTTCTAATTGAAAATAAACTTGAAAATTTTAATATTCTAAAATTTGTGAAATAGGGGAAAATAATAGATAACGGCCATGTAGAATTATAATTCATAAAAATTTAATCCGTTTTGTTGTTCAATTATGGAATTTACCACTGTAACTAAAACCAAATTGATTTTTATGGAGCAGTTTATTAAAATTAATTCCCTTTATGGATTATTTTAAATAACCGATTCTGGCAGTTTAAAAAATTGATCCAGGAAACTTTAAAACGCGTTTGTAACATTATCAAGCTTAAAAATGTTTTTAATTTTTTAAAAAGTTATTACTTTTTTTAGGTCCTTCCAACGACGAGCCAAAGAACGTGATGGAAATAGAAGCAAAGCAGAGTGGCACAAAGGTCGTAAAGTTAATTGTTTTACGAAAAGTGAAAACCCAAAATGACGACGCTGATAGTGAGTGTATTAACATCTTATATTAATCAATTAAAAAATATCATAGATAACTCTTTAAATATTAAGAGGATATCTGTGCTGCGTTTAGTCCCTAAAAACGTATATATTTTCTCCCTGGGTGACATGAGCGATATTTTTTACAATAAAATATATCTACCACGCCAATGTTCCTATGATTCGTTTATTTATAAATTAATTATTTAAAAAACAAGCAACCTTCCAAAATTGTCCATTCATCAAACAAATTAAACGAACGTAAAAAATAAAAGAAAAAAAAACGCAGACATAGCCACAATCCTTCTCAAACTGTTCTTGATAATATATTATTTTATTAAAAGCGGTATAGTTTCGAAGGAAGAGGATATGAGTATATGCGTCTTAAATTTTTATTACATTCGAGCGATCCGTCCCTGTTTCGTCAAGTTGGGATTTATTTATGTGGCCTTATTTCAATTTAACATAAGACAGAAAACATAAAAGAAAGAAATTTTATCAATATTTCGTTTCGTGCAAAAAGATCTCAAATTATTTCGCATAAAATATAAAGATCGATTCTAGGATTGCTCTCTACTTGTCCATGAAGTTTCATTACAATCGGTTTAGCGATTCCAAATTCCGAAGTTTAGCTCGGACGGACGGATATTATACAAAATAGAAAAAATTATTATTCATGTTAATGGCATGGAAATAACCCCCTCAGCTCAATTTAAGCCAGCTATTTCCATATTGCAGACAGACACTTCAACTTTATTTATATGTACTTATCTATAGATAATTTTACATGCTGCACTAAGAAAAGGTTATTACGTAATGGGAATATACTGAGTGGCTATTTTTACCATAGAATACTATAATACACAATAGAATGGCTGACACCCTTATTTTGTTCGAGAATCGGCGTCGCAGGAAACGCACATACAAGCATTTACGTTGTATTATCACTACTACACACCCGATTCGCTGTGTTGACAGATTGAGTAAATTTACACATTTTACTTTTGATTAATGCTCAAGATCATCATTAAAAAATCGTTTAAATTTTAATACAAAATTATTTGTAAATAGGGTGCAATTTAGCATTTTATAAATGATATGCATGCGAAATTTGGAAACGATTGTAACGTCAAAATAGATCTCATGTCGACATTTATACGTGTGAATTGACATGTTAGTGACATTTTAGTGGCTCCGCCCACTTCCACGTTCTATAATAAATGAATTATAGTATTCTATGGTTTTTACCGTCTGGAAAATAATATAGTGTTTTGTGTAAGTGGAGTAGAAGCTATGCTAGAAAGTATTTGTAAAATATAACAAAATAGAACTAAACAGGCAAAATGTCCGAATCCAAAAAAATACATAGAATCAATTCATCCCACGGCGTTTGCGTGAAACTAAAAATAGATTTCGATCGCCATTGAATGAAAGTTGTAAGAGCGAGCGAGACGCATGCACATCTTTCGTTATGTAAGCGCCAGGCGCCCGAGTGGGAAGGGAGTGGCCGACACGTTGTTAGAGCCAAAATGAATACAGAACGGTTGTAAAAATACTTCTTACAGCTTATTAATTGCTTTTCATTAAATTATAATAATAAAAATATTATAATTTACATTACGATTGATGATAGGTAGTGATGCTCGTTTTACTTGATTAGATAGAAATATTATTCCGACTTCTAATAAAAAAGTCACGTGTAAATATATTTTTGAAATACACAATATCACTTTTTTAATGATACAGAATATTTATTAGATTAAACATAGCATTAATTTATTATAATATGTTATTTTAGGTACTCCAGAAAAAGCAAGCAAGCTAGAAAAGAAAGACGATGATGGGCCAGACTCTAGCGGCTCCCGCTCCGATGATTCACAAGATGGACGTTCGCACGCTACCGTCATCAGCGATTTAAAGTAATACTAAAATAAATCTGAAGCGATAGTAATTATCGCATTACTTAAATTGTAGAGTTATTACGAAGGAGTATTCTTGAGCGGCAAACTTGTGTCTAATATTCGTCCCAGCAATATTTTTATATACAATAAGGGTAACCACCACAGTCCATCTGATGGTAACTAGGTGTTGTGGCCCATAAACATCTACATCTATGCTCGATTTAGAATGAAAATGCACATGCATTGCACCCCTATGGAATAAGATTGAAAGCATCATTCCTAGTAAATAGCTTTTCCGGTTCTCTACACTCATCATACGATAGCATTAAATCTTATTTATTTTTATCTATTCCTTTAAGAAACGCATGCGTGGTGATAAATTTCTGTAAAGCCTATGTCCGGCAGCAGACACAAAAGAATGACAGTGCGACTGGCGTTGTGAAACATGTTTACATAGTCCAGAATAATTTATAAATTCATAGTTAATAATTATTTATTTGCATAGAATGTAGGTAGATATTACAAGAGTATTATTAAAACATAAAAGTTCCTATACATTCTGCCTTATCGCGGCGTGCAAATTTTGACTAAATTGATATAACAATTTTTTTTGAATCATTGATGAATTTAACTTATTAATGTAATATAAAAATGTCCAATTGATGATAAAATAAATGTCAAAAGATTAATTTCACTAAAACAATTCGACAACTTCAATGATTATACAGTATTATATTTCACATATATTATACTGACTGCGTTAGCGAAATTAATGAAAACCCTTTTTTAAGGAAAAAAAATTATGACACATTAATTAATTTTTGTAATTTCATTATTTTAAGTACCTACATTGTAATAAAAAGTATATAATAATAAAAAGGCCACGATCCAAGTCATAAGGAATATCCTTTGAATTCACAGAAATGCATCATATTGTACTATTTTAGTCTGCTATCTGTTTGTTTATGAGTCAGGATCAGGTCGCTATATATTATTTTATATGACACAAGAACTCGAAACTTCCACCTCTGATGACTAAAGTGGAATGCCTCACAGCCTGCAGTAATACAGCGAAACACAGCAAAGCACGCACTTTTGCTTGGCGGCAGGAATAGACAAGAGGATGTTAACCACCCAAACGGACTCTAAGGCATAAACCAAGTCCTTCCCAATAATACTGCTATCAAATAAATATAATATTTTCTTTCTTTCCTTATCACCTGGAGCAGGGGTCTTCAACTTTAAGTATCGAGAGCCCATTTGACCAATTTTCGACTTGCCATTGCTGTGGTAGCTCAATGGTTAACGCTTGCTGCAAATCTCACAGTACGCGAGCAACCCGGGTTCGATCCCCGCCAGCATTAACGAAATTATTATTTACAATTTTAAGTGCTTATTTACCACATGCTCCGCGGTGATGTAAAACATCGTGAGGAAACCTGCATGTCTCAGAAATAAGAAAAAAAATATTTCGAGGACATTGAAGCTCGCCAACACGCATTAGGGCAACGCGGCGGAAACTTCCTTGCCCTGTAACCCTCTCAGAAATGAGAGGAGGCCTGTGCCCAGAAGTGGGTCGTGTAAAGGCTGTAACTTTTAACTTAAACGAACATTGACTATCAACTTCTAACACGTTCACTGCGGCACTGATTTATCTATACTTTCCATTACTGCGCTTCATGGCGTTTTGAACCTAGTACGGTTTAACAAATATGTGTCGAGCCCTAATCATTAATATTACAACTTAACTATACAACTTACCTGTCTTTGAAATATCAGTAGATCATTTGAATTTGACTCTTGCACTTCTCACAGCAGTGAAGATGCAAACACGCGTATTCCGAGGGTTTAACAAGAACATTATCCTTCGTCACGCATGGTTTGGCTTGGAGTCTCATATTCAGGCTTAATTGAGGTGTTTGTCCGTAAAAAAGTTGTAAAATCCACTGCTGAGGTATACCAAAATACCGTCTTAAGAAACATAGTGGACTCTTTCTCAAAAAATGTTCAAAAACAGACATTGGATATTCCAACAGGACTCTACACCCGCTCATAGGGCACAAGAGCTGGTTGACCGCCCAAGGAATTGACTTTATCGGACATGAAGACTGGCCCTCTTCTAGTCCAGATTTAAGACTAATGGATTATACGATATGGCAACATTTGGAGGAGAAAGTCTGCGCTAAACCTCATCAGAATTTGGAATCTCTCCGAGCATCTTTTGCTAAAGTAGCAGCAGAAATAGATATGAGTGCGGTGCGTGCTGCGATCAATGATTGGCCGCGTTGATTAAGGGCATATATATATATATATATATATATATATATATATATATATATATATATATATATATATATAAGGTTGATTTTTAAGTTTCTTGTATAAACATATACGTTCCTTATTTTCATGTAAAGTCAATACTATGTATTATAAACCGTAATGGTATTTAGTATTCCGACCAAACCAAAACAACCATCATCTTTAAAAAGGTTGTATCTACACTCTTATGTTAGAGAAAAATGTATGATGCCTCCGCGGATCGATTTAGGTACACGGACCACCAGTGATTCAGTTATAGACCACTGATCTAAATTGAAAATCATTCTTGATACTTCTTACGTAGGTTATTACGCAGGTAGGCGGCTTAATGAGAGTAGTGTCGAGTGTCGCACTGGTAACTGCTTCTTATAAGTTAGTGGGTACTAGACGCCATTTTTGATGGATTTTCAGCCATTAGCTGAACTTTTTTTTTCAATATAACATTGCCGTGATTCGTATGGTTAGTGTAGAGACTAGGGAGATACAGACTGGGTCATTTAACTTTATACTGGTGAGGAAGCATTCTATCTTTTGGATAACAAACAACCCATCTGCATTTTGGTTCTTAAGAGAAGATTGATGTAGGCGTCTATGGCCTACAGCATCCACTTGTCTTCGGTGGATTATATATGGTACGTATGATATGTTAACTGTAACGTAGTGATGATGATGATGCCGGTATTCCAGGTTCCAACGTGCGTCGCACCTGTTTCGCCGCCAGAATACACACGCTGAAAAACGTCCCTTTAAATGTGGCAGCTGTGGACATGATTTTGAGCACTCCGATGACGTGCTCAAGCACAGCAGAATCTGCAAACGAGTACGTACAAATGCTTATTCGGGTTCCGCAGCTCAAAAAGAACAAAACAAAACCCCTTATAGGACCATTTTTTTGTTCGTATGTCAATATCCTTTTTTCTCAAGAACGGTCACAGGTATCAAGTGAAAATTAATATAAAATACTGAGGTTTATGGTCTCTTGGAGGTGGAAAAAATTCAACTTTCTAAGTCAAAGCCATCAAAAGTTACGGCCGGAGTCATTAATTTTAATAAGGCCTATCAAACCTATAAGGCCTGATCTTTTCCTGATCTAAAATTACGCAATTTTGCAAGAAGCGAGGTTTCACAGCATAACATCTTGGCCACGGGACATTCGCCGTAGCGAAAATTCGCGCGGCGCGAACGGCGAGGCGTCTAGCGACTAAAACAAATGTATAGAAATGTATGGATCAAGCCACGCGTAGTGGCGAGTGGCGACGCGACCGGCGAAATTTACCGGGCGAATCGCGCGGGCGACGGCGCCCTGACTGAAACAAATTTATGAATCAGTACGGTGCAAGCCACGGAGTCGGGCGGCAGACGCGGCGAAAACTGGCGAATATTATAGGGAACAAAATATTTAAGTTGTTTTCGCCGTGAAATGTGCAGGGCCGACAAAAACGACTTAAAATTCTATCCGCATTGACTTTTATCTCCAATTCTGATTGAATATTAACAAGAATGTAATGGCAGGTTTCGACACTCATTTTGGTATTTACTCGAAATTTTTTTCTAGATGCATTCTATTTGTTGTGGAATTCTCCATCTATAACCCAGTTCCTATCCAAATCATGTACTCCGCAATCTCTTCCAAATATTATGTCTTGCATCAAAAAACAATTACTTTCTAAGCAATATCGAGATAACTTTGATAAAGACATTTCACTCTCGGCCTATCTGGTCGCGGCGGCAAACGTGACTTCCCGTGGCCCTCAAATCGCGCCGCGCGAATTATCGCCCCGCCTGTCGCTTCGCCGTTCGCGCCGCCGATCCCCGTGGCCAGGCCGTAAGTATAGGATAAAATCCAAAACATTGTAATTTTTTGTTCTATCACCCAAAAAAATATTAACTGGTATGAAAGGAACGCTGTCCACTAAGTCGGTACATTGCCGATTTTTTATGGGGAAATGCCCTTTTCACGTGTGGAAATCTTCATGGATTCCGTCTACTGCAGAGACAAAAGAGAGGCTTCGCGGGATACCCACCAGCTTAAAACTCTATAGTGATCGCCAATAAGGTGTTTTGGGATATCTGTTTAGAACGCAACCCGAGATCCATCCTTTTGTATATTTAGTGCGTCCCGGTAAGAACACTTACTCGTAGTACGCTTCAGCACCTTTGCTGTGCGATCACGGTGATCGCTTTAAAGTAATTAAATTTCTAACACGGAGCCGTCAAAAAGTTTTTTTTGACGGCTCCGTGGCGCAGTGCCTTAGCAATGAGTTACAGCGCTAAGGGCCGCGGGTACGAATCCCGAACGGAACAAGTATTTGTATAGTCTACAAGTAATTGTTACGGGTCTGGATGTTTGTACTTGTGCAATTTATGTTTGTAAACTGCCCCTACGATACAGGAAAAAATCCTAGTGAGGGGGTAACGTTTTTTAAAAAAAAAAATTATCTTCTTTGAAGTCACATTACTAAACGTTTGGAGGCTTCTACTGCACTGAAAGCAATTTGACGTCGTTTCCCGTTCGATCGACCCCACTAATCGTCAATTCAAAAAACACAAATCGTCATTCCTTTACCCTTCTCCCCGCTTGACACCTCTTCGGTTGCGGAGGGTAGCCTTTACCTTACAGTTTACTGATTGCAGTCACCTCAAATTAACTTCGCGTGGATTTCTCCTAATTTCACCGTGGGTGACCGATTCACTGTTGAGCGCCACCATACGTTACGGAGTGCAAGGTGTAGTTTAATTTATCATCATTGCCAGAACGTTATAGATTACTACGAAATTTTCGAGTTAATACTACATAGCGCTTGTGTAACGCAAAATGGCACTTTATTGAAAAGTATAAACAAAATGGTTGAAAGAGCATTCAAACGGTTGTATGGTATTTTGTTAGTTAACAACACAGTTCTTGTTCTAAATGTAATTTGATTTTCAAACGCTTTTTAAATGATCCAGGAGGAGCAAATAGTGGACATAACGGAGGAGTCAGCGATAATCAAGGTCGAGAGCAAGTCCGATGCTAGTGACGTGTCGCCGCGCAGTGAGGCGCGCAGCCCGCGGCCGCCCGCACCGAAAAGGGGACGTGGCCGCCCGCCGAAGCGGGTACCCAATTTCATGCACAAGAAGAAACTCGGTGAGTCGCAAATTTCTGTGCAAAATTCAATATTTTTCGAAATTCACTATCAGTGGACAGGGTACACTCTTATTTCTGGTAAGGTAGCAAGAACGTGGTTATATAAATAATATAAATAATAAATTACGAAGAATAAACAATGAAAAGAAAAAGCTAAGGTAAAATATTTATGACAACATTTATTGATGTACAGCAATCGTGTTGTAATATTATTGACAAACCTGCAAAAATTTAATCATCATCACTATCATTAAAGCCCTTCATAAGTCCACTGATGAACATAGGCCTCCCCGAATGAATTCCATGAAGCACGGTTCTGAGCCACCTGCATCCATCGACTTCCTGTATGTCTTACCAGGTTGTCACTCCATCTAGTGGGGGACTGCCCTACACTTCGCCTACCGATACGAGGCTGCAACTCGAGAACCTTTTTCATTGCATTTGCATTCAGTTCTTCAAGCTCCGTTCAAGACCTATTGCCACTTCAGTTTACTAATTCGTTGGGCTATGTCGGTTACTCTGGTTCTTCTGCGGATATCCTCATTTTTAAGTTTATCACAAAATTTAAATAAAACAATATAAATTATTAACTTTTTAATTGTCATTTACCCCAGATGCTGATTTCTAATACATATTATGTATATGACACTACACATCAGTAGTAATACACTTGCTTATTGCTATATTACTTATATTCTATTACTTATGCTGATGTATAAGTATTTTTCCTTTCCTAATATTTTTATTTACATCACCTTCATTGTCTTCCTCAAGACTGGCTCGATTTCGGGAGTAATTCTGAATAAACTACTTTTATTTTTACAGTAGGAGTTTTATTTAGATTATACTCAATAAACAAAAATATAACCTTAAATAGTGTTTAGTTTTTAATTCCTCTATTATATGTGTTTGTGTCGTTTACGCAGCTCGAAATAGTGTCCGATCCATTTACTTGCGGAAACCTTCAAACAGGCTGTATACTCTTCTTTTTATTAATGAATGCCTGTTCTTACGAAACACGTTATGATTATGTTTTGACGTTACTTCACCATGATCAAAGCGTAAAAGTCAAGACATGATAATCTCCCGTTGTATGAAAGATTTGAATCAAAATATTTTTGCTTTTATAAAGCTGCAATTTTTGAAGGTCAAAAACGTTTGAAAGTAAAAAGAAACTGTTAAAAGTTAACCTTATAATATATATAAACACAAGACAAGAAAGTCTAAGAAAACTCATTTATGTCCAAGAATTCTTACATAAATAACATAGGAATGATCAAGTATAGTTATTTGTAAATATTAAATCGCATTCTTTTGTGATGGTTTGTAGGAGTCATCGATGTTGTGCTAGTCGCAACACGAAATAATGCGAGATAAGCTTGTTGACTCAAAGCACTATAAGTAAAGTTACTATCAGTTTCACTGCGGAAACTCGAACAGTGTCTTCACTTTTTAGTCAACTAGATGTTTATTTAAATCAAAAGCTTGTATCACCACCTAATAATACATGCATATCGAGCATACATGGAAACCATTTTCAACTATGCTCCCTTCCCTGTAAATATGCTCGTAAAACTATGCATTGAACATCAATGCATAGTTTTACGAGCATATTTACAGGGAACACATTGTACAACGATATTTTGGTGAATGAGATGTTTCGCTCCTATTCTATAGATAATAAGCAATAACATTTTAGAAATAAAAATTGTAACAAAATTAAGGAATGTGTTTTATTGATGATTCAGAATAGCGTGGTAGTTATGAACAAAGAAGTATAATACAATAGCACTAAGCAGGGTGTACAACGAGTAATACGCATCGTCGCATGTAAGTAGCCGCCATGGCGCTATGACGCTTTGGCGCTATTAATATCTAGCGGCAACTAATTCTAGCAGCAGCGCTGTTAGGAGTGGACTTGTGACGGAAATTTGATCTAGAAGTTCCTCGAACGCGACCTAATTTAGTGTTATACTGCGCTAGCACTTCTTATTAGTTTGTGAGCCTAACTAATGTTTTTAAATGTAAATAAAATATAGATACAAAAATATATAAATAGTTGATTTTGTTATATACATCAAGAAACTTTTAATACGCCTTGAATTGATTTATAATTTACATTAAGGTTAAAATAACGTTTACATCGATTAGATTCGTCGTAAATCTGAAAAGTATGAAAGAGTGTCCATTGTGTTTTAGTTACTGCTTAATTTTATTTTAGTCTAAAATGCGACTTATCACAAAATAGTGTTCTTATATAGCACGCGGTGTATCCAATGAACGACATGTAATGTAACGTGCTACAAGATTTAGTTTGCTACACGCTTTCTTATAAATATCGCGCTATAACATAGCGTATTTAATAGCGCACTAGAAATTTATAGTTTATAGTCCAGCGTGCTACTGATTTATAGCCGTTTTGAACAACTGTAGTTGCAGCCAACATTTCTAGAATACAGAATTGTTGTAAAAACACATGATACAGCTTAAAACTGTTTGTTAATTAATTGCGTTATTGCAGTGAGGCAGTATTTAATTGACATTACGATTTATAATAGTTATGGCCGTTTTACTTGATGTTACAGTTTGTGACAACTGAGAAAGTTGAAGTCACAGCTAAATATGTTTTTCAAATACGTTACGGTTACCGCTCAGTGCAAATATCAAAGTATGCGAGCAAACCGAGTTCGATCCCCGCCGGCACCAATGAAATTGTTAATTGTAAATTTAAGTGCTGATTTACCACGTGCTCGGCGGTGAAGGAAAACATCGTGAGCAAACCTGCATGTCTGAGAAATAAGAAAAAAATATATATTTCGAAGACATGTGAAGTTCGCCAACACGCATCGGGGCAGCGCGGCAGACACTTCCCTGCCCTAAAACCCTCTCTGAAATGAGGGGAGGCCTGTGCCCAGCAGTGGGACGTATGTAGGCTGTTACTTTACTTTACTACTTTACTTTTCGAATGAAACAGTATATTGATTGGAATATACATACCATTAATTTGCGATAATATCTTATTTTAGGTACTCCAGAAAAAGCCAGCAAGCTAGAAAATACAGACGATGAAGAGCCAGACTCTAGCGGCTCCAGCTCCGATGATTCACAAGATGGACGTTCGCACGCTACCGTCATCAGCGATTTAAAGTAATACTAAAATAAATCTGAAGCGATAGTAATTATCGCATTACTTAAATTGTAGAGTTATTACGAAGGAATATTCTTGAGTGGTAAACTTGTGTCTAATATTCGTCCCAGCAATATATTTTTTTATAGGATAGGGTGACAAACAAGCACACAGTCCACCTGATGGTAAGTGGTTGCTGTGACCCATAGACATCCACATCTATCCTCGATTAAGAATCAAAATGTAGATGCGTTGTCACCCGTGAAGACAAGGATGGAATGCCTCGTTTCTAGTAAAAAGGGTCTCCGGTTCTCTTACACTCACCATAAGAAATACAGCAGCATTAAGCTACTATTTCACGCTGGTATTCTGTGAGAGCGTGGTCCTTCCCCGGTCGAGCCGACCCATTCGTGCTACAACTATACATCTAGTATAACTGCAGCATGGCTCTACAAATGTAATGTTTAATGTCCATGTCACACCTATGCCGGTAGTTGTTGGGGGCACTATGCTCGAAGTTGTTGACGAGTACGTTTACCTGGGACAAATAGTCCGACTAGGTAAGTCCAACTTCGACGGAGAGGTCAATCGACGGATTCAACTCGGCTGGGCAGCGTTCGGGAAATTACGACATATCTTCTCGTCAGGTATACCTCAATCTCTAAAAACGAGATTGTACAGCTAGTGCATGTTGTCAGTGATAACTTATGGATTTGAGACGTGATCCTTCACTGCTGGCGGTATGAGGAAAGTCAAGATCGCTCAGCGAGCTATGGGGAGGGCTATGCTCGGAGTTTCTCTGCGTGATAAACTCAGAAATGAGGATATCCGCAATAAAACCAGAGTGACCGACATAGCCCAACGCATTAGTAAGCTGAAGTGGCAAATGGCCGGCCATATAGCTCGAAGAACCGATAACCGATGGGGAAGAAAAGTTCTCGAGTGGCAGCCTCGTACCTGTAGACGTAGTGTAGGGCGACCCCCCCACTAGATGGAGTGACGACCTGGTAAAACATGCAGGAAGTCGATGGATGCAGGTGGCTCAGGACCGTGCTTTGTGGCGTAACTTGGGGGAGGCCTATGTTCAGCAGTGGACTTGTGAAGGGCTGTAATGATGATGATGATGATGATGGCTCTACAACGTTTTTGTATGGAATAAGGGTAACAACCACAGTCCACCTGATGGTAAGTGGATGCTGTGGCCCATAAACATCTACACCTATCCCCGATTAAGAATGAAAATGCAAATGCGTTGTCACCTCTGAGGAATAAAATAGAAAGCCTCGTTCCTAGTAAGAAGACCCTTCTTCTTCTTTCGGTTCTATACACTTACCATTTGAAACACAGCAGAATTGAGTTGCTTTTTTTACGCGGGTATTTTGTGAGAGTGTGATTCTTCCCCGGTCGAGACGACCTATTCGTGCTACAACCACTATATATCTATGGCTATTTGTAAAGCCTACGTCCGGCAGCAGACTTAAAAACGACTGAAAATGTGAATGGGGGTTTGAAATATATTTACATAGTTTATTATAATTAGTAAATAATAGCTGCTGTGGTGAAATTGATGAATAACCCTTTAAAAAAACTTATGACACCAAAATTAATTTCTGTAATTTCATTATTTTAAATACTTACATTGTAATGAAAAAGTTTATAATAATAAAAAGGCCACGATCCAAGTCATAAGGAATATCCTTTGAATTCAAAAAAGTAAATAAATAAAGAATATAGTACTATTTTAGTCTCTTATCTGTTAGTTTATGAGTTAGATTCCCATACATTTTATACGGCACAAGAACTCGAAACTTCCATCTCTGATGACTAAAGTACAATGCCTCACAGTCTGTAGTAATACTGTGGAACATAGCAAAGCCGCACTTTTTCTTGGCGGCAGGAATAGACAAGAGGATGTTAACCTCCCAAACGGACTCCTAGGTAAAAACCGTGTCCTTCAAATAATACTACTACTAATTAAATATATTTTCTTTATTTATTTCTCACCTAGAGCAGTGGTTCTCAAGTTTAAGTTTTGAGAGCTATTTTGAATAATTTTTGACTTGCCATTGCCGTGTTAGCTCAGATGGTTAGAGCTCGCTGCAAATCTCACAGTACGCGAGCAACTCGGGTTCGATCCCCGCGCCGGCACCAATGAAATTGTTATTTGCAATTTCAAGTACTGATTTACCACGTGCTCGGCGGTGAGGGAAAACATCATGAGGAAACCTTTTGCATGTCTGAGAAAAAAGAAAAAAAAATATTTCGAAGACATGGGAAGTTCGCTAACACACATTGGGGCTCCGCGGCGGACACTTCCTTGCCCTAGAACCCTCTCAGAAATGAGGGGAGGCCTGTGCCCAGCCGTGATATTGACTATCAACTTTTAAACAATATAAATTATGATTTTTAAGTTTCTTGTATAAACAAAACACATTGTACGTTCCTTATTTTCATGTAAAGTCAATACTATGTATTATAAACCGTAATGGTATTTAGTATTCCGACCAAACCAAAACAACCATCATCTTTAAAAATGTTGTATCTACACTCTCTTATATTAGAGAGAAATGTATGATGCCTCCGCGGATCGATTTAGGTACTTTCACAGACCACCAGTTATGAACCACTGTTCTAGCTACTTATTAAGCAGGCAACAAATAGGCGGCTTAATGAGAGTAGTGTCGAGTGTCGCACTAGTAACTTTTTCTTTTTGATGGATTTACCTTCGTTTGTACCCTTTGAATTAAATTTTTTGATTTTTTAAATAGGCAAGGTCCATAAAAAGTTATACAATAATTTAGTTTAGACAGAACTAAGGTTTCACATAATTTAACACGTAAGTCTACAGTGATAAACTGCCTGATTGAATATAAAACTTTCAATCGGAAAAAACAACCTTTTATGACATTAATTACATGATTTTCAAACTTTAAATAACTGTCCATAAGAACCCCAAGATTTCATACTTCAAAAACTCGTTCAATGTTTTTCCCATCAATACGTACGTTAGGATCAGTAGAAGTTATGTCCTTTACCTGCTTTTTAGTACCTATAATAATAAACTTAGATTTTGTTGGATTAAGGAGCATGGAGTTATTTTGTGACCAAGAACTAATGCGTTGACAATCCTCATTTAACTTATCAACCGCTGTATTTACATTTTTACTATCTACACTAATATACACCTGTAGGTCATCGGCATAAATATGGTATTTGCAATTTTCAAGACATTCTGTTATATCGGAACTATAAATGATAAAAAGCAAAGGGCCCAAAATAGATCCTTGAGGGACACCTTTATTGACAGGAAGAAGTTGGGAAACATAGCTTTCGCCATCATTCCTGTTAATTATAACTTGTTGTAGACGATTATTGAGATAACTCTTAAACCACACCAACCTCGTTATCTAAACCGTAATATGATAGTTTATCTATTAACAAATCCGTATTTATCGAATCGAATGCTTTTGAAAAATCTAAAAGAGTAAGGATCGTGCCTTTGCCAGAATCCGAAAAAGACAGCACGTCATCTACAACATTTATAAGGGCAATATAATGTTACAATGATTCGTATGGTGGAGTGTAGGGAGATATAGACTAGAATATTTACCTTTATACTGGCGAGGAAGCATTCTATCTCATGGATTACAACGAATCTGCATTTTGGTTCTTAGGAGAAGATTGATGTAGGCGTCTATGAGCTACAACATCCACTTACCTTCATGTTAACTGTTACGTAGTGATGATGATGATGCCTGTATTCCAGGTTCCAACGTGCGTCGCACCTGTTTCGCCGCCATGCTGGCGAAACAGACACTGAAAAACATCCGTTTAAATGTGGCAGCTGTGGATGTGATTTCGCGCGCTCCGATGACGCGCTCATACACAGCAGAATTTGCAAACGAGTACGTACACACGCTTATTCGGGTTCCGTAGCTCAAAAAAAACTTAACCCCTTATAGGATTATTTTTTGTTCGTATGTCAAGCCCTTTTTTTCAAGATCGGTCAGAAGTATCAATATCCAATACTAAGGTTTATGATCTCTTTGAGGTGTAAAAAATTCAACTTTCTAAGTCAAAGCAATCAAAAGTTACGGCCGTAGTCATTAATTTTTGTATTTGCAAAAACTCACTTGTCAAACCTATGAGACATTTTTCTAATCTAATATCATGAAATTTTGCAAGAAGCGAGATGTCACAGCATAAGAATAGAATAAAATCTTTAAAAAATGTAAATATTTTGTTCCATCATCAAAAAAATATTAACTGGTGTGAAAGGTACGTTGTCCCCTAAGTCGTTACAATACCGACTTTACGTAGGGAAATCTAATGCAGAGATAAAAGAAAGGCTTCGCCGGATACTAACTAGCTTAAAACTCTATGATGGTCGCCACAACACAGATAAGGGATCTCTTCGGAACGCAACTTGAAATTAATCCATTTATATATGTAGTGCGTCCCGGTAGGAGCACTTAGTACCCTCAGTACCTTTGCTTTGTTGTCACGGTTATTGCTTTTAAGCAATTATCCTCTTCGGAGTCACATTACTAAACGTTTGGAGGCATCTACTGCACTGAAAACAATTTGACGTCGTTTCCCGTTCGATCGACCACACTGCCACAACTGGTAGAAAATCGTCATACATTTACTTGGTTCATACATTTACTCTTCGGTTGCGGAAGGCAGAAAGATAGAACATCCGTTTCTTCGCAGATTTGCATCTGCTGATTGCAACCACCTCAGATTAACTTCACGTGGATTTCTTCTAATTTCACCGTGGGTGACCCATTCACTGCTGAGCACCACAATTATACGTAAGGGATGTGAAAGGTATAGTTTAATTTATCATCATTGCCGGAACGTCACAGATTACAACGACATTTTATGGTAATAATATTACAAAACACTAGTAAAAAACAAAACGGCACTTTATTGAAAAGTATAAACAAAATAGTTGAAAGAGCATTCAAACAGTTGTATGGTATTTTGTTAGTTAACAAAACAGTTCTTGTTCTTAATGTAATTTGATTTTCAAATACTTTATATGATCCAGGAGGAGCGAACAGTGGACATGATGGAGGAGTCAGCGGTAATCAAGGTCGAGAGCAAGTCCGATGCTAGTGACGTGTCGCCGCGCAGTGAGGCGCGCAGCCCGCGGCCGCCCGCACCGAAAAAGGGACGTGGCCGCCCGCCGAAGCGGGTACCCAATTTCATACGCGAGAAGAAGAAGCTCGGTGAGTCGCAAATTTCTGTGCAAATTTTAATTTTTTTTTAATATTTTTTACGTGGTAGAGCCATGCTACAGTTATATTAGTGATATAGTTGTAGCTAATGGTGGTTAATATAGCGCATAGCGCCATATTATAGCGCGTTATCTCTCCATAACACATAGCTCGTGATATGTAAGTAGTCGCCATGGTGCTATTACGCTATGGCGCTTTGGCGCTATTAAGTATTAGTATCTAGCGGCAACTAGTTCCAAAAGCAACGCTGTTGGGAGAGGACGTGTGACGCAAATTTGGTCTAATAGCACGCTATTCATAGCGCGCGGCCTAATTGAGTGTTAGACGTTGTTTAGTTAATGTATACCGTATATTTATAAGTGATCGAAGGACACAGTTGTCTGCTATAAAAGAAACCTAACTAATGTTTTTAAATGTAAATAAAATATAAATACAAAAGTGTATATAATACTGTATGTAAATATTGAATAAAACTATTATTTTCGGATTTTATCGCGTTTAATTACTTTAATTTATTTTTATTATTATCCCGACGTTTCGGGCGCTTTACAGCACCCATGGTCACGGGGGGGGACTGAGATGTTTGACGTCCCAATGTCATAGTTAGTCCGGCTACCTTCAGTTTTTTTAATATTAATTTTTGGTCCGATTTACGCAAAACGAGCTTATAGTATCATGAAGTCTTGCAGTGGTATGCTTGGGTTTGGGTTTAATTTTGTTAATTATAGGATCCCAAGCAGATGGTAGCACCCAACCATCTTCTCTATTGAAATTTGGATGTTTTTTAATTTCAATAGCCTCGCGTATCATCCTTGGTAGGAATCGGTGTTCTTTTGCGAGAATTAGTGGTTTATCAAATCTAATGTAATGGTGGGGACGATCTTGAACATGTTCGCAGACTGCCGACTTTTAAGAAATCATTGTATGTAAATAGTTGATTTTTATAAATAGAATCAATAACATTTTAAATACACCTTTATTTGATTTATAATTTATATTAAGGTTAAAATAACGTTTACATCAATTATAATAAAAAATAATTAATTTTATTTCGTTTCAAAAGTACATGCCTTAAAAATATTTTTAGGGTTATAGAAAGTCGTAAGCCTGAAAATACGAAAAAGCATTCATTGGTTTTTCTTTACCGCTTAATTTTATTTTAGTCTAAAATGCGACTTATTACGAAATAATGTTCTTATATAACACGCGGTCTATCCAATGAACGACATGTAATGTAACATGCTACGAGATATAGCGTGCTGCAAAACTAAACGCGCTTGCCAGCCTCCTACACGCTTTCTTATAAATAGCGCGCTATAACGTAGCGTATTTAATAGCGCGCTAGAAATTTATAGTTTATAGTCTAGCGTGCTACTGATTTATAGCCGTTTTGAACAACTAGTTGTAGCACGAATGGGTCGGCTCGACCGGGGAAGGACCACGCTCTCACAGAATACCAGCGTGAAATAGTAGCTTAAGGCCGAATACGACGCGAATGACCTTGCTAGTTTCGCAGCAAACCACGCGCCGCCAGTACCTACGCTTTGTTTATATAGACATGTATAATACCTATAATCAAAGCCGTACGGGCTTTGATTATATTTGACTGAACTAGCTCAGATGCAGAGTAATGAACAACACAGAGAGCATTGCTTACTTCTTAAATAAATTTTTCTTATTTATAATATTAGTTCCAATAGATTATAAATTCTGTACTTTATTCGTTATAAAATATTGTTAGAAAAGTTATTGAATTGATAACGATTTTTTTTCTTAATTGGTGCATCGTACGTAAAGAATCTCATATAACTGAAAATGTTTGTTCTTGTGAGTCTTACAAGATGCCGTAATGCAAATTGCATAAATAATAAAGAAAAAAAAACTAAAAAGTCGGTGATTGCCCCATAGTGGGGATAGGTACTGTGTATGTAAATTCTCACAAGACTACTCCGACTGGTCAATCACTTCACATCCGAAGTATTTCGGTTTTTCTTAATTATGTGCTTTTACCCCATGCTTTCGGACAATACATTGACTGACATTATTTGCGGTCTCTGTGCTTGCACTACTCTGTACATTCTTTTCCGACTGGGTCTTGATATTTTACATTTTTAGTGTTTCTCACTTGAAACTAGAAAAGTATAAATGATCAGTTTGGCTAATGTAAATGAGTAAAAATGCAACCTATTAGGCAGCCTCAAACAAAAAATTACCTTACTAAATATAAGTATTAACCTCAAAATACAACATTCGAGCAACGTTCCTGCGATAAACTCTCTTTGTTTTACCACTTAGGTAACATTTATTTTCTCTTCCTATCCATATTTACATTTATAGACACTTAAACGCGTATAAAACACTAAATTAACGATTTTCGCTACAGACACATCGACTGTTGTTACCTTACGTCACACGTCGAAGCGCCTGGTAATTTATTACGGCAAACTTTTATCTGGCAATATACGATATTATTATTAGGTGTTTTTAATTAAAACGAATTATGTTAATAAATAATATTTTGTATCGAAAATAAAGATAGCAGGTACCTTCGGAATTACAATACAAACATTTTTACGCAAAAGAATTTTTCCTAAATTAAATTCACAGAGTTTTGGAAGAACAATAATTTTATATATCATTTCTTAACATTCTTTTATTTGTTGGTATATTCATTTATTTTAAAATTTTAAAATGACGGTGACATTGTGAAGGACCCGAACAAACCTACAAAAATGTTTTAAAGCTTAGAATTACTTCAGGTCAAAGTTCTAGTCAAGAGAAATACATTAATTAACGCCAGTTCTCTTCGTATTCGGCCTTAATGCTGCTGTATTTCGTATGGTGAGTGTAGAGAACCGGAGACCCTTTTTACTGTAAACGTGGCATTCCATCTTAGTCCTCACGGGTGACAACGCATCTGCATTTTGATTTGTAATCGAGGATAGATGTGGATGTATATGGGCTGCAGCAACCACTTAACATCCGGTGATCTGGTGCTCGTTTGTCACCCTATCCTGTAAAAAAAATCTTTCGAAATTCACTATCAGTGGAGAGGGTATACTCTCATTTCTGGTAAAGTAGCAAGAACGTCGTTACAAATAATAAATTACGAAGAATAAATAATGAAAACAAAGGTAAAAATTTCATAATCTATTTTATAAATGGCATAATTACACTTATTTTTAAAGGGATATAATATGATGAGCTGGATGGCGTTTAAACATTTTATGACAACATTTATTGATGCACAGCGATCGGGTCATATCAACAAACCTACAAAATTTAATTCATCATCATCATCAGTAAAGCCCTTCACAAGTCCACTGATGAACATAGGCCTCCCCCTATGAATTCCATGAAGCACGGTTCTGAGCCACCTGCATCCATCGACTTCCTGTATGTCTTACCAGGTTGTCACTCCATCTAGTGGGGGACTGCCCTACACTTCGCCTACCGATACGAGGCTGCAACTCGAGAACCTTTTTTCTCCATTGCATTTGCATTCGGTTCTTCAGCGCTGTTCATGGCCCATTGCCACTTCAGCTTACTAATTCGTTGGGCTATGTCGGTTACTCTGGTTCTTCTGCGGATATCCTCATTTTTAAGTTTATCACAAAATTTAAATAAAACAATATAAATTATTAACTTTTTAATTGTCATTTACCCCAGATGCCTTGTATTACTACTGATGTGTTATATATATGCTTTAAATGCTTATTCTTATTACTAAATTACTTATATTTTATTACTTATGCTGATATATAAGTATCTTCTTATGTTTATATATCTTAGAAAATATATAAACACAAGACAAGAAAGTATAAGAAAGCTCATTATGTCCAAGAATTCTTCAATTGTCCATAATCAAATAATTTACCTTTACTCGTTAGAATGCTTTTTAAATGTGCCTTGAATTCATACAAAGACAATTCAGTAATATTACGGGGAATCTTGTTATAAATAGTTAATACAACTACCACAAAATGAGCCGTTAGATTTACGGAGCCTCTATTTTGAAACACGCAAGTTTAGATATTGCTCGTACTACAATTATCGACATCACTCATTTTATCAAATGTTGTTAAAATGGATTCTAACATAATTAATACTAACCCGTATGTAATGTTTCAAAGTTGAGATATTAATTCGTTTAAAAAAACCTTACACTATGGAGTGTAGAAGTAAGGAGTACAGACTGTGTATTAAAAAGTGTCCATAGAAAACCGTTAAATGAGGGTGGCGCCACTATAGCTACGGGTTAAATTTTAAAGAACGCACCGAATAATATTAGTGGGATAGAGATGACTTTTTTGAGGTTATATTTTCTAAATAAAATTATTTTAGATTTTAGAGCTACTGAGCAGTTTAGCAGCACACTTGAACCGTCGGCAACTGCTAAGTTCATTTCATCCCAGTAGCTAATCCAGCGCTCTTGCGAGTTTTTGAACTGTTATTTACTGCTTATAGATGGCCACTTTTTCAACTATTCTACTATGGGAGTTGGTACTCCTTACTTCTACACTCCATACCTTACACCTTTAACTTTGCTGCCTGTCAACGGTCTAAGTATTTTACGAACGGTGTAAACGAGGTGGTATAAACCGCCATCTATCGTAAGCCATGTGCACTTTTTACAAAGAGCATTCGGCTTCACATGGAATACTGTTCTCATCTCTGGGCCGGGGCACCCCAGTGTCAGTTCCTTTCACCTGACCGCATCCAGCGCAGTGCGGTTCGAGTCGTGGACGAACGAGTTATTTCTGATCGGCTCGATTCACTGGCGCTGCGTAGGGATATTGCATCCCTTTGAATTTCCTTCGCATCTACCACGGGGAATGTTTTGAAGAATCGTTCGGATTAATTCCAGCCGTCAAATTTCTCGAACGCACATCGCGCCATAATTCATGATACCATCCTCATCGTCTGGATGCTTGGCGGTCTACCACCGTGCGTTTTACTAGGAGTTTTCTTCCTCGTACAACTTCTCTGTGGAATTGTTTACCTCTGGCGATTTTTCCGAACCGATTGGACTTCGAGAAAAAAGCTTCAAGAAAAGAGTTTCTTTCTAAAAGGCCGGCAACGCACCTGCCATTCCCCTGATGTTGCGGTTGTACAAGGGCGGCGGTAGTCACTTACCATCAGGTGAGCCGCATGCTCGTTTGCCGCATCTTTTCAAAAAAAAAATTGAGCTGATGGACTCTCACGCTGTCTCCACATGACTCGTAGCTTACGTACCTTGTTGCGGGTAGATTGAATGTAATTTTGTCTCATAACATTTTATTTACTTATAGATTTTGTATAGAAGTACCCGTTTATATATTTCTCCTATATTATATATTAAGTAAGTATGTATATTTTATTAACTATATCTATTCTATTCATTTGCATTTTATTTTGTTTTATATCCTTATTATTTATTTATGAAGTGATTGATTACACCTGCCACAGTTTCTCAAATCATCCAGGGTTGACTGGCAGAGAATGCCATAAGGCATTAAGTCCGCCCTTTATATCCCTTAGTATATAAGGTGTATAATAAAGATTAAATAAATAAATAAATTTAACTTGCAATGTGTTGTATGCTATATATAAGAAAAATTGTCATTCTATAAGACAATCACCTTCATGACACTGTTACACTTCTCATTCGAAATCTTCAGATAAGAAGATCTGCAAGTCCAAAAGAGTTGTGTTGAAACCGAGACCCGTTTTCAAGCCTCAGCTCACTCTGGCAGAACAGCAGCTGCAACTTAAAAGGACTCGTGGAAGGCCACCCAAGAACTACTACAATCGGAAAAAAGGTACGCCACATGCCACTCATACTTCTGTATATTAGCATAAAAAATTAAGCTAGTAAGTATTAAAACATGCTCAGGACTCTTAGATCATAAAAACAAGGAAGATGTGTCAAGAAGACGTAATGTTTGACTGTTTTATGTGCGCAAAGTAATCGTGTAGTTCACAGAACACCGTGATTGCCACAGATATACCCGGTAACTACTATACGTATGTACTAGGATTACTAGGTAGTGATCGCTTTTAAATAATCTTCAGTTATCGTCTGCGAAAGAGCTTTATTTAACGTTCGAAATGCAGTTCTTATGAACACTAAGTCAAAGTCTATTGGCATAATCATATTGTCGGTAAACCAAAAATTAATGTCTATTTTTTATTTCATCATTTTTTAGTTTTTGAAGAAACGTTCAAAATGCAAGGCAAGTAAGTGAATGAAAAACCAAATGCTCATTCGCTTGCCAGAGGTGGGGATATGTTTGAATTATGTTGTTAGTCAGTTTCGTCTTATTACAAAAAGAAGTCTATCGTAGTATATCTCAGGTTTTAATAAGTTCCACGGAAAATATGTAAACTGAAATGTAAATGGAGTTTGCCAGCAAAATTATGCGGAAACTGTGACTTCACTGTTAAGGAACTTCTTTCGTGAAATACTTAATAAATCGTAGTTTAAACCTGAGACTGTTCGGTTTTAAAGAAGACTTTGTCACCAAAGCAACCCCTTAGCCAATATAAATAAATAAAATCGGTATTTTAACATGGCAGTGTCACAGTTTTGAAATTAGAAGATACAATTCATTCAATCATTAATTTACTACCTCATTGATTGCCTTATTGGTCTAGTGGTCGTAAAAGCGATTGTCACCGGGTTCGAATCCTGTGTCGGGCCATAAGTAATGATTGGTTTTTCCGTCAAGAAATGCTCAGATGCAGCACAGAGTCAGAAACTTGGCGGTGTTTCGCCCCCGTGCTTCGGAAATCACGTAAAGCCGTTAATCCTGCGCCTGGTCTCCGGCGTGTCGAATTACCGTCCCATCGGACTACGGGAGTGAGGGCATAGAGAGTGCACGTGTGCTGCACATACACTCGAGCACTATGGTCTTGTCCTGCGCAGATGGCTAGTCTCCGTTTAGACTGGCCGCCATGGCCGGGATTCGATCTGGAGGACATTACATCCTATTAAAGTCCACTAGTCAACATAGGTCTCTCCCATAGATTGCCTTATTTCAGGATATTTGTCATAGTAATCACGCTTGGCAGGCGAGCTAGCAAGAAATAGTACTTGCTTTCGATATCATATTTAAAGTAATTAAATCGAGGTTTCATACAACCAAAACGAAAAGAAATATTGTTTTAATTTAATAATTGTTTGAAATGAAATGAAACGAATGATTTTTATTCAATTTAAAATATTGCATAACTTATTTATGAAACTTATTGAGTCATTTTTTTATTTACCACTGGTTCTGGAAACAACCTCTGTCCTGGGAAGAACCAGCAAGAAACCCAGCGGAAATTTTTTTAAAACATATTTCATAGATAATAAAAATATAAATTACCTTGCCACCTTCCGCTAACTAAATACAATGATGTGTCGTACCTGGATTGAAGACCATATTTCACCTTAAAATAATTTATTTGTAAAATTATTGAATTAATTTTTATAGAACCAGCATGGTGGCGATCACCTCGTTCCCAGGGGTTATTTTCATTTATGTATTCTTTGATGATACGGTATTAACATCAGTGGTCAATGGCGAGTACATCACTCACCTTCGATTTGCTGACGATATAGTCCTTATGACAGAATCGCTGGAGGACTTAAGCACTATGCTCAATGACCTCAATAGTGGCTCCCAACGGATAGGTCTTAAGATGAACATGGACAAAACAAAGATCATGTTTAATGTCCATATCACACCTATGCCGGTAGTTGTTGGGAGCACTAAGCTCGAAGTTGTTGATGAGTACGTTTACCTGGGACAAATAGTCCGACTAGGTAAGTCCAACTTCGACCGAGAGGTCAATCGACGGATTCAACTCGGCTGGGCAGCGTTCGGGAAATTACGACACATCTTCTCGTCAGGTATACCTCAAAACCTGAAAACTAAGTTGTACAACCTGTGCATGTTGCCAGTGATGACATATGGAACTAAAACGTGGTCTTTCACTGCTGGCCGTATGAGGACGCTAAAAGTCGCTCAGCAAGCTATGGAGAGGGCTATGCTCGGAGTTTCTCTGCGTGATAAACTTAGAAATGAGGATATTCGCAGTAGAACCAGAGTGACCGACATATCCCAACGGATTAGTAAGCTGAAGTGGCAATGGGCTGGCCATATAGCTCGAACAACCGACAACCGTAGGGGAAAACAGGTTCTCGAGTGGCAGCCTCGTACCGGTAGGCGAAGTATAGGGCGACCCCCCACCAGATGGAGTGACGACCTGGTAAGACATGTAGGAAGTTGATGGATGCAGGTGGCTCAGGACCGTGCTTTGTGGCATACCTTGGGGAAGGCGTATGTTCAGCAGTGCACTTGTGAAGGGCTGTAATGATGATGATGATGATGATGATGATTCTTTAATATTATAATAACCCTTCTTGTACAATTTTTCTTCAATAAAACATTTGAACTTGTTTAATGATATATAATATTTTATCTTTCTTACAGATATCCACAAAAAACCGTCTTTAATTATGCAGGGTACCCTATTTAATAGCACCTCCCAGAATATGCAAACTGTTGACCTACAAAACCTGGAAGATTCTTCATCAGAGGTTATCACGGGATCTTTGTCTCCGATATTGCGATCGGGTAACCTGTCATTGTTTATCGCTTCGAATCAATAATTAAGGCTTTCTTTGTTAAATGAATAATTTCCTAATATATATATATATATATATATATATATATATATATATATATATATATATATTAATAAATTTATAAACTTCCACTCATTATCATAAGTAGTTTTTTACGTGGTAGAGCCACGCTGCAGCTGTGTTGTGGTTGTAGCACGGATGGGTTGGCTCGACGCGATAGGAACACACGAATTTCGGCCACGGCGGCCTGCCTCAACGGAGGCTAGCCAACGGCGCAGGAGAGGATTATAGTGCCCAAGTGTACTCTCTATTCCCTCACTCTCATAATCCGATTGGACGGTAAACCGACACGACCGGAGAGAGATCAGGTGCAGGACCAACGGCTTTACGTGCTTATCGAGACACGGGGGTGATACATCGTCAACTTCCTAACTCCGTGCAGCTACTGAGAATTTCTTGACAAAAAAACTCAATAATTAATTTTTGGCCCGACCCGGGATTCGAACCCAGGACCTCATGATCAGCAGTCGCAGTACTACAACCACTAGACCAACGAGGCAGTTACGAGGCAGTAATAATGAATATAGTTACTACAAAGCATAATTTATATTTTTATATTAAAACTAGCTGTGCCCGCGACTTCGTTCGCGTGGAATGAGTACTTTTTGCTATTATATGTGATTATTGTTTATTTGTAAATTAAACTGTCGCGAAGACTTAGAAAGACTAATCTAAAAAAATGTATAGGCTATAAAAACATTCAGTTAGTCGGTCAAACAGTCAAACAAATAAACAGACTCACAAACGAACTAAGAAACAAATAGGGTAACGCAATCCCTTATTTGCTCCCGAATATCTCTAGCCAATACTTGGTTTCCATACAACAAATAAGAGATTGTCCTAAATAAGCAAACGCCATCACTAATTATTGATATCAAGAGTGAATTACTGACTCGGTGGAGTCGAGTAACTGGTACTACTAGCTTGTGTTTGTTCAGTCATATTATAATATTATATAAATCGCTTCTTCGTTTCCAGAATCGGCTAAAGCGTGCGGAATAAATAGTGGAAACTATGCCAAACATTCAGTTATATAAATCAATAACGCCAAATATGATGCAATCAATGGGGCGGCCTATGTTCAGCAGTGGACTTTAAAATGCTTTAACGGTTATTGAATAAAAGGAAGAAACATATTTGCTGGTCCAATACAAACATTGCGTTGAAAGCAGCAAGCTTATTCTGATATAACGGGTTTTTCAACAAGAACTTTGTTTTTCAATTGGGGCAACACCAACAACATGACAGTTTTGACCTTTAGTTTTTTGACCTATTCGTAGTAGATGCTTTGGCAATTGCTACAATGAATTCAATTTCGCTCGAAAATCGCATTAAAATAATTAAAATCCACTATGAAAATGGTGGTTCTGTTAAAGTTACGTTTCGTAAAATTCGTGATATTTTCGGACAACATAATCGTCCTTCTGAGACCGCTATTAAGAATTTGGTCGCTAAATTTGAATCGACAGGCTCAGTACAAAATGTGCCAACACCAACTCGTGTTCGACTGGGTCGTTCAACCGAAAACATCGCAGCCGTGAGCCACAGTGTCCAGAAGATCCAAATTTGTCAATTCTTCGACGTTCTCAACAATTGGGGTTATCCAAAACCACCACATGGCGAATTTTGCGTAAGGATTTGGCTTTGAAGCCTTACAAGGTTCAACTGGTGCAGGAATTGAAGCTGACCGACCATTCACATCGAAAAAATCATTTTTTCAGACGAAGCCCATTTTCACTTGTCAGGGTACGTCTACAAGCAAAATTGCCGCATTTGGGCTTCTGGAAATCCTAAAGCGATTATTGAGAAGCCTTTGCATGCTCAACGTGTCACTGTATGGTGCGCTATGTGGTGGCGTAAGTGTGGAGGCGTGATTGGGCCGTTTTTTTCGAAGATGAGGCTGGAAATGCGGTAACGGTCAATGGATCACGCTATCGCGAGATGTTAACATCTCAATTTTGGCCTATTATTGATGACATCGATATCACAAACATGTGGTTTCAACAGGACGGTGCCACATGTCACACAGCCAACGAAACGATCAATTTATTGCATACCAAATTTCCCGATCGCATAATTTCACGAAATTCAGGTGTTAAATGGCCAACCAGATCGTGTGATTTAACACCACTGGATTATTTTTTGTGGGGCTATTAACAGAGTCTATACGGAGCCAATCGAATCGATCGCGGGCTTAAAACTTAAAATCCGTGACGTGATTAACGAAATAGACCCGCCATTTTGCCAAAAAGTGATTAAAAACTTTGATGAAAGAATCGACATCTGTCAGCGTGGTCGTGGTGGACATTTGAAAGATATTTTTCATTCATAATTGCCAAACTTTTCTCCTCGTAATACAATAATAATTTGAATCATCTTCATCTAAACATCTGTTTTATTTTGTTTTAGAAAACAAAGTTCTTGTTGAAAAACCCGTTAAATTAGTACTTTATGTATGATACGTTAACAAACAAACAGATAGACAGACAATTCTAAAAACGCTAGAAATGTATTCAGTTACTTATTTTTAGTCCATCTCAATTTTTTTTACAAAAATATAAAATGTACAGACATCTGCAATTTACATTTTTATTACATGTATAGATTTAGCGCAGAATAAATTGCACTCTATTATAATAAAATAAAGTTCTTTTTCTTGTTGGGCTAATATTTTTGAGTGCTTTAGCTGCTTCGATACCATTGACGTTTTGTTTGTAACTATAACACGGAAGGTTTAACTGAAACCATGTGGTTTCAGCTAAACCTTCCTTACATAACGTCAAATACCTATATAGATATTTGACGTTGTGTTGTGTATTATCTATGTTGCGATATAATTGAGCAAGATTGGTGATGTCTATTATTTGGTTACTCTGGATAGTTCAATATTTATGATCACTTAACTTTCTAAATATTTGTTCAGCATGAGTGCTACCTTCTTTTGACGCTGGCTTTAGATAAAATTAACCTTGTTTGACAAATTCCATTATATCATATATATCTATCCTCGATTACAAATCAAAATGCAGATGCGTTGTCATCCGTGAGGACTAAGATGGAATGCCTCGTTTCCAGTAAAAAGGGTCTCCGGTTCTCTACACTCACCATACAAAATACAGCAGCATTAAGCTACTATTTCACGCTGGTATTCTGTGAGAGCGTGGTCCTTCCCCGGTCGTGCTGACCCATTCGTGCTACAACTATACGCCCTGCTCTACCACGTAAAAATACCGTCACGTGAGGTTGTCACAAAAAGTTAACCTTAATATAACTGCAGCATGGCTCTACCACGTATAAAAATAATAAAATTTTTAACTGAAAGTTCGTGTTGTTTTCAAAAAGCGTTCAAATTTTAAAAGCACAATTGTACATTTATTGAACACCAGCTAACGTATTTACGTAAATAATGTTACAGATGGGGACCCCAACAGGAACGTTAACCTGTCACCTTTCTACGGGTTTGTAAATCCGACGAAAAACGTATTCAATCCATTAACCGATGTTCACCACACCTCGTTTGACGATAAAAACAGTTCGCAAGAGGAGCCTGAAGTAATTGTGCCACACGTTTTTATGCAGACACAAATAGAGTCAGAAGAAAATGTACCCTCCATTGGTATGGAGACCACTATCATGTCCGAAAAAGAAATTGTAAAATCGATCTCAAACAAAGAAGAGATAAAGGACAAAAGGGATCAAGTACAGACGGAAGCAAATGTATCAACGTCCACGACCAGTTCTGTAACAATCACTTCCATAATATCTTTAAAGGACAATGTTCAACAACCAGTTGAAGATATATAATGTGTACCCATACTACTCATCTCCATAATCATGTTAATAGTTATAATAATAAATGTTTAGTAAACACAATATTAATATATAATTCATTGATGGTCTGACTACGGTATCCTAGTCATCTACTGACTGGGATTGAAATTATTATTAACGCTCGAAGTTAGTATATAGAATAGGATATAGTAATATAGGAATACTTACCTAGCTATGGTTTAAAACGTCTTTTTTACTTTGTGAATTCCTTGAAACCAACTGCCCCTAAGTCACTGCAAACTCTCGATGATTGACACTATAAATTGAGTGTCGAGCATTATCTGCCCTTTCTCCAGCAAACATTATACTTACTAACTACATTTTTAGTAAAAAGCGATAGATAGTTTCTATATCTCTAAAAAGTCTAAATGATTTCTTATATTGTCAAAATGATTACTTATCAATCAAACACATTTGTCTTATCGTACATTCTTACCTGATGAACAGAATGGGAAAAACAAATAAAACACTACTATGTTAAAGTGGTTTATTATTTATCAACAAAGGACTGTACCGATGCCAATTGCAGAACTGTCAAATTTCAATAAAATCCGTTTCACTCGTGCGCACTCAATGACATACTGAATGATTTATTTATTTAATCACTATTTTTATTAATCTGTACTATACAAAGACTAATTAACCTTTAGCTAGTCGCGCCTAAATACTTACACTATTAGTCGCGTGGGGTCCGTACGGACCCCAGGATTTACTTTTGAAAATGAAATATATAAAATAAGTGAAAATATTTATTCTATACAAAAACTTAAAGAACAACATCTAAATTAACAAAATAAAGAAAGATTTCTAGGAAATAAAATTTAAACTTCTAAAGCAGTAATCAAAATTATCTTAAATTATTAGGCACATGAATCACAAACTTTTGTAAGATGTTCGTTACACATGAATTTGTTACATTTACCACATTTGGTTTTTGTTTTCCTATCATTAGACCTAGGACATAGGTGACAACGGCTTTTGGAACCACTTGAACTGCTTCCAGAAGTAGAAAGTTCAGTATCATTGAATCACGGCAATGGTATGAGCGAGAGCTGTTATAGGGAAGGAGTGGCACAAATGAGAACAGATCACGCTAGTAAGAGAAAAGAGAAGGCTCTTACTTGGGCGTTGGTCTTCTGGCGGCAGCCTTTACTCAGTCCTTAGGTTGATGGCGCTACGGTGCAGCTGCGGTAGTGCGCGATGACCACTTACACTATATGGAGCCGTTACTGTTAGCGGTTCTTCTGTGGCGCAACTGCTACAGAGGTGCAATCACTACTAGCGTTGGTGTTCAACTATATGGCGCGGCGGCGGCACATCGACAACAACTGGCCGATCAGTGGCGTGTTTCGACCTTTCACTTTCGTCTTATGCCAGAAAGGAGATGGAGTGGTGGGAAAGGATGCCAGCTAATATAATCTAGAAATATGCGTTTGGCGCAACCATCCCTCTCGGCTTGAACGGCCCCCTTCAAAACTAACTAAAGCTAATTTAAACTACTAATCTAGCATAGATAGGCAATTCGAAACTATTGGGCAAAGGGCATAGACGGACAACAGGACGCATATATCACCCGGTCGCTGTCTCAACACGAGCTGTCCTCGTTATTCCGTCGGATCCAGGAAACCTCTTCGACAATCCCTAATGGCCAATAAAGAGGCGGCGCGTTCTCTTTAATGAGAGTAACTATAGTTCCGGCCGTTAATGGTTTAATTGTCGTGTTCCATTTCAGCCGAGATTTCAACGTAAGAAAATATACCGCTTTCCATCACTTCCAAAATGACTGCACTAACCGGTCTAATAAGTTATGACATGAAAGAACATGAAGTTTATCATCGTCTATGTCTATAGCAGGTAAGACCTCAAAGGCGTTAGACTAGAAAAATGTGCTTTACGGACTATGTTACACGGCAAGACCTAAGGTCCGCCATTCCCGGGAATGACGGCCTAGGATGAACCTGAAAACAAGCTAAACGTCTGTGCATCCGATTATGGATTAAGTTACGTGCAGAAAGTATCCAATAATTCTGACGCAAAATAAACATCAAAATAAAAAACAGCGTGACAATTTAATTTATGGTAGTAATCAAGTAATAAATTCAAAATATAATCCTTACGCGGCAAAACTATAGGACCGTGGTCGTCATACTGCGGCCCGCGGACGATATTTGTGCGGCCCGCGACAAAGCAAACAAATTTAGGAAATTATATCAAAATGTCATCTACTAAACACTAGGGTAGGTATAAATTTCCTCCTGCTATTTGCTCTGACTGAGCGGGTTGCGGAAAGAAGAAGTCACGTCAAAGGCAAACGCAACTTCAATTTCATTCATTTGTTTTAACATACTGCATAGGACACACTCGTCAATAAATTACGCGCGAAGTATTCTTATTTAATAACAATATAACGGCGGTAGTATCATCAAAAAGTGCTACTAAAAGGAAGTTAAGTGACAAAAAATATTTTTTTGAGAAAAATGGCAAGAGGAATTTTGTTTTATAAGTGGACATACGGATGGTACTGCAATTTGTTTAATATGCCGGGAAAGTGTTGTCGGAATAAAGCGATTCAATTTATTTCGCTACTATACAAGTAAACACAATTCATTCACTGAAGCTTTTCCTTTGGAATCAAGTGAAAGGGAGAATAAAGTAGCTGCTTTGAAATCTGCAATTCGTCGTCAACAAAATATTATGACGACAGCAGTTGGACGAAACGAGGCTGTCAAAAAACGTCTTACCAAGTTCGTCACATGATTGCAAAAAGGATGAAACCTTTCACTGATGCTGAATTAATAAAGGAGCGCATGTTAACTGTTTTTCGGACTTTGTTTCAAACATTTTATATACTAATAACCAAATAATGGCGGAAGTAAAAGCTTACGCTTTCTGAATCAACTTGTCGACGCCAAGTTGAAGATTTGTCAAAAAACATGTTTGAGGCAGTAATTGATAGGTTGAAAAACTGCAAATACTTTATTTAGTCTTGCGTGTGATTCTAGTAAGGATATATCTTCTATGTCTCAGTGCTGACTTTTTGTGTGGTACTGCACTATGGACGGATTCATAGAAGAGGACTTCTTAGCCGTCATAACCATGAACGGCCATACGAAAGGTTGTGATTTTATGGAAGCTCTGAAAGAATTTGTCGAAAAGTACGGTATACCTGTGAGTAAATTGATATCAGTGTGAACTGATGGTTGTCCGTCACTGTTGGTTGCAAATAATGATCTTATTGCCTTGATGAAGAGAGAATTGAATATACCTAATTGGCTGCCCATTCACTGTTTGCTGCATCAAGAAACCTTGGTTTGTCAAATTTCGAATAAAAAGTTGAAGGATGTAATGAGTATTTATTACATTCTCATAAACATAATCAGTTTGATTCGCGGGCGTGAACTGAACCATCGAAAATTTAAAGATCTACTTGAGGAATTACAAGCTACTAAGGCGATGTAGTCCTACACACTGTCGTCAAAAAAGTTCTGAAACGTTTCTTTCATTTAAAATCCGAAATAATTCTATTTTTACAAAAAAAGTGGTAAATAATATCCTCAACTTCTCAACGATGAATGGTGGGCACTGACAACTTTTTTGGCTGTTATTACCAGGAAGTTTAATAATCTTAATTTAGAGTTTCAAGGGTTTGCATTTGAATTTAAACTTCAATTATATATAAATGAATTCCAAGCTGAAGACCAAGATTTTCCAACCGTTGCAGCTGTGCAATCAGAAGTCTCTATCTCCGATAGTATTTATCAAGATATGGTTTCCTACTTAATGGAATATTTGTCAGAAATTCAAAAAAGATTCAGTGACGTGAGAAATATTAAGAACTATTTTATTCTACTAATATTTGTTTCGTGTGTTCTTTTTGTCGTTTCATTGTATGCTAGTTAGTTCTTTGAGTTGGCTAACAAAAAATATGTCAATTGGTTGGTGGTGTCAACTTAACAATCCAAGAATGTGCGGCCCGCTGTGACACCTCACATTTTCCTGTGTGGCCCTTGACCATATAGGTGTGACAACCACTGCTATAGGGTATCGGAACTCAAATGTGAGTTAGACAAGCGCCTACAAATCTTGCCCGATTGTAATCTTGTTATTTCATCGGCAAAGTGCACACGTTTATGATCACGAAATATTAACAACTCGGCATAACTATAATCCGACGCAACGATATACGGACGTCGTGGTATAAGATTTGCAAATCGACAAACGTAAACTATGCCACGGAATATAAACTACATGTAAACGATTGATACTACAAGCAGGAATAAACACTACCTAATCACTTCTAGAACTATAAAATAAAGATAAATAACATTTATAAGATAATTACAAAATTTGTTACAAATTGTCTAAGTCTTGGAAGGAGAAAATTTTCCTAAGTTAAGGAAAGCGTTCGTGTATAGATGGCTTGTATGGATGAGCTGTCGGAGACGCATATCTGCAGTTGTACATATATATGATGTGGTCGGGTGCCCGACAGCTTTAAGTACTGTAGCACAATGACGTACTATATTAGGGACTTATAATAGTAAACTCAATTATACAAAAGCAATACTATAGACGGTCTCTATGATGAATTTGCATTACAATAGTAGGGTCGTGGGTTGAAGTCCTATACAGGCTGTTTGGAAGGTCGAAGCAAAGCTGTAAAGCGGAGCTAGTATAGACTATTTGGGCCCGTATTAATAAACGTTACTCAACGACGAACTCAAGTGCGTAATTATTTGATACGCTCTCATCATAATATCAGCATCTCAAGATCGTTGCTAATTAATAAACAGATAAAAACAGTATCTCAGTTACCAAGATCAGTTCTTTAAGACATTGTACTTAGAGTTACTGTCAGATACTGTTCTGTGACTTGAGCCGCTTGAGCGCTTGATCTCGGGAACGATTACGTCACATAGATTGAAGTTTAGAATATCATTCATCACGTTTCATTTTTGCTATATCATGAGGTT